GTTTTTCTGAAACCGACATCATAAAATGCAACCCTCGTTATGGTAGGTACATACAATAAGAAGAAGAAAAAGGCTCACTAGAAACACCTAAAACTATTTGCAGTCATACACGACGAGTTGCATCAGCTAAACAAGTTTAGCTGTGTGGAGCGCTTGTTTTGAGAAAAATGTCGTCTGTGGGTTAAAGAAGCGACACTGTAACTTCATACCAAACTAACTTTTATCTATAAATTAACATTTCCAAGAAACTTATATAGTTTAGTCCAGTACTATTTACAAATATTTTAGGTTCCTCGTGCGTTGGTTGTTCATGAATCGAACTTCCGCCAGTTTCAGTTAAACTCTGTCAACAGAATGATTGGCCAATTCAATTTATCAACAACCAATGCGGGAGGAATAACGGAGATTTATAAATAGTATAAATTAATAAAAATATTATTAAGCTCGTTCCAGTGGGCGCCGCGTAGATTTTGACATTCTTTTTCAAAAAATATCCTATCCGTTTAGTTTCGATGGACTCTTTTTTGTGTGTCTTTTTAAATAATTGACAGAGCTAATGTGCCACAAACACGTGAACTGTCTGAGTATAAAAAAATCTGGTCATGGTCAAGTGCATGACAACGAAGTGTTAAGGGTAAAGTGAAATCTGAACATAATGTTAACAAAAAAACGACGGCTTTTATTTTCTGGCAAACGAATAAAAAGTTTTTCTAGGGTTTTACGGGTTGTACTCAAACACGATGGCACGATTTATAATAGTTTTTGTGTTTTTTTCCATTATTATCATGTAAAGCACACTCGGCCTATAACCTAAGAATAACACTATAACATGTCGCCGTATCGATCGAGAAGCAGCGGTGTGACGTCACGATTATTCCCGCACGTTTAGTGTCGTTTAAATGGAATAGCCACGTGTCACAAATTGAATTATTTATTGCAACTTAAATATTGCATTTTGAGTTTTGATATTTGGTATGCGTTAGTTGTATTAAAGAAATTAAAAAAATGTTCAAGTTCCTCATTAAATTCCCCTAGCTGGCGGTTACAAGCAGTAGGTGTATTTCTATAATAATTCAAGGAAAAAATAACGCACTGATAGATTAAACCCCGTGAAGATAACCTTTAAACCTGATGGCGGAATTAATTTTAGTTAGAAGCGATAATTTAGCGGAGATTGCGTCGATTGGTATCGAATCAAATATTGGAACTTTTGTTGTGTACGTGAAATCTACGCGCGGTGGTCATTTCCGTCTTTCTTGCATTTGTTTGGTCGACGTGGGTGGAAATCGATCTAGATTATATCGAAAACTTTTTGCCTCTTTGTATTCCTGCCGTTTTGGGCGTACATGAAAGCTATACGAGATATATCGGGGTTTCGCATTTTGCTTGGTGGCGTGCTTGTTGATTAATTAAAATAATATTACAAATTTATGGAGCGTAACGCGATATAAAATGTGGAGCATACAAAATTCCATTCGTCAGGACGAAAACGCAACAACAAAACTTTTATAAAATACTTTTGATAGGTTTCCACTTTTTCAAATGCGTTATTTCGATGGGTAATAATTTAAAAAAATGAATTTATTAATCTAAAATTAAATTTAGAAATGAAAATTAATAAATGAACCTTAAATCAGGGCAATACTAAATTATGGTTTCGTCAGTGCAAAAATTATTTTGCACTATTTAGTTTTTTTTTCAACTATTCGTCATGAGAACAATACAAAAAAAAACGTTGCTCTAGGTAGGCAAGTCATTGCTCATTATATTTCTCCCAGTGAGTGATATTGTAAAACGCTTCATTTAAGAATTTAATATATTTGACAAATTTCAAAAAAAAATTATTGTGTGATTTTCGAAATTTTTACGACATTCGAGAAAAACAAAGTCCAGCAAAATAAAAAGAAATTAACATAATATATATTTTGCTCTTTTTCATTTTTCGTTTTATAGTCGGCCTTATTTTTTTCCTCATTTGAAGAAGTTAAAGTATCACAATTACAAGTTTTACTGTAAACCGTGTTCCAATATATGAAGGGTCGAAATATTCGATGCGAAACTGTTTACCAAAATTGTATCTTAAAATAAATATTTTTTCGAATTTGATTTAGGCGTCCTCTAATGTTGTAAAGTTTGATGTTCTTTAAAGCCTAAATATACTTCGCGAGATGGCTACAAAGAGTTTTTTTAGGAATATGTAAATTTACAATTTTCTAATAAATCTAATCTAATCTAATCTAATAAGATTGTATTTCATTTTTTAGAAATTTATTAATAAGAAATTTTCGTTTAGTTCTTAAAAGGCAACGACATTTTATAATAAACCACCCTTTTCAAATCGATTACGATTGCGATTACGATGGGTTACGATTAGGTATCAAAAAATTATCGATGAGCATTGCATTAAAATACGAAAGGAATCTCGGCAGGTAGTTTACATAAATGAAGAAAACGGTGGGTGCGAATTTTTGCTCTGTACTTTACTTTTGCCAGTTTTGTAATTAAATAAAAATATTTTTCTTAATCTGCCCATCGTTACGGTGGGACTTGTTCGACTTTAACCGCCGCCGTTACGAAGGGCGTGGACGATCTCCGCTTTTGATTCACTCGTAAAATGATCTCGCCAAGTTTTCGAGCGAGTCGACTTTGATTAGAGACTTACTTTTCTATCGGAAGTTCGTTGATCGTGCAGATAAGGTCTCTGGAATACGAAAATTGCCCGATTTCATTTAAATTCGTTCCGTTTTCCTAATTTGACGGGATTAAAGTAAAGTACAGGGCACAAATTCGCATCCGCCGTTTTCTTGATTTATGTAAACTACCTACCTAGATTCCTTTCGTATTTTAATGCAATGCGCATCGATAACTTTTAATACCGGGAGCATCCATCAACCGTGATTAATTTTATCCCCTAATCGCAACCCAGGAAGAGTCGGATTTGAAAAGGGTGGCTTATTATAAAACGTCGTTGCCTTTTAAGAAATTATAAACGAAAATTTCATGGGCACAAGAAACTTCGGTTAGTTGATTTATTAAGTAAGTAATTGTTAAATATTGTGTACTAGCGTATGTATGAAAAATGAAATACAATCCAGTAAAGATTTTGTCGTTTGGTCTCCGTCATTTTTCCAGCATAGTTACTTTTGTATGTGTTCATATCCTAAGTCGCCATGTTATGTTTTTGTATTGATAGAAACTACAGACCTTCATTATTACTATTTCTAAATTCTGAGTAACAACTTTAAATTAATCTATTTAGTTTCATTTTTTATCTCTATTAAATAAGAGTAAATTTCAACGATTCTAAAGCTGTGTTTATATAACAAATTCATAACTAAAATCATAAGCGTGTTGATAATCTGTTTAACATAGAAGACCAACTGTGAAGACATTCATAATAGCAAACATTATTTTCACAAACGGTATTATCATAGCTGAAACAAAGAACCAGTGGAAAAACGTCGATCTGGATCATATAAGTTTGGAAATGCGAGGTTGTGTCTAAATTACTCAGAAAATGACACTTACCTTTTTTAGACAAACTAAATGTTTTTTGAAAGCTCTACCCAAAATTTTTTGCCAGTTCCTAAATTATTTTCCACAAATTGTTACGATTCTGCTTCAAAAATTAAAGAAGTAATGCTGATCCGTGAAATATTTTTCTAACAACTTTTTTTTTCAGTAAAAGTATTTATACACTTCACCAATATGCAAATTCCAATTAAACGATTTTTTATACAACTTTTTCAGTTTTACTAAATTTTGGCTAGTTCAAACGAGAACTTATATTTCAGATCTTAATACAATAAGGTGATCAATAGTTTTGAGTTTTTCCAGTTTCATTAAAATAATTAAGCGGAATCAATTTTCGTAACACAAGCATTGAAATTGCTTTTTCCGATTTTCAAAATAACCTTACTTATCCTCTCTGACTATTGACACCAAACCGATGATAAGAAGTGCCAGTTGTGAGTCAATTGAAACATTTGATTGTTGATTCGAAACGGGAAGAGATTTTTTTTGATTTCCAAACAGTTTCGCATCGATTATTTCGACCCTTCATATATTGGAACATGGTCTACACTAAAACTTGTAATCGTGATACTTCAACTTCTTCAAATGAGGAAAAAAATAAGGCCGACTATAAAACGAAAAATTAAAAAGAGCAAAATATATATTAATATGTTAACTTTTTTCTTTTTATTTTGTTGGACTTTGTTTTTCTCGCATGTCGTAAAAATTTTGAAAATCACACAACAATTTTTTTTTGAAATTTCTCAAATATATTAAATACAATAAATATATTAAAATGATGCTTTTTACAATATCACTCACTGGAAAAAATATAATGAGCAATGACTTGCCTATCTAGTACAACGATTTTGTGGTATTGTTGTCATGACGTTATTGTATCAAATACAGTTCTTGAAGAATATATACACGAATGGTCGAAAAAAAAACTAAACAGTGCCAAATAATTTTTGCACTGACGAAACCATAATTTTTGTAATTTTCCGATTAACAAAATCTTAATTTTTTACTTAGCTTTCCGTTATAGAGTTTTGTTCGCATATTTTATAAAATAATAAGAGAATATACTATGCATTTATGTTATAGTATAGTTACGAAATTAACAATATATATTTATCATTGTTATATAAATTAAACAACAACAATTTACAAAAGAAAATGTTGTTTAAATAGAGCAATAGAGCATACTTCAACTCTGGTATCACCTTCACAAAATAGCTTGAATGGCGCATAACAAAACATAGTATAAAATATGCGTGACGACACGCGATATTGCATCATTCAAGCGTTGTATTCTAAGTTGGCATCATTCATTCTACACGAATAAAACCGTAGCGAGGCCACCAATTTAACGCCCCTTGTAAAATCCGGTAAAACCTCTGGGCTCGGCATTTAAAAGTACATATTATTAGTAGATGAACAGAATAAAGTCATTGATTGCCAAAAATTCAATTCCGTTAAAAGCTTACCACTTGATCCACATCGAATTCGTTGGCTACCCAATCCCTCGCCTGTCTGAATTCCTTGTTCAATCCCATGATATACAATGTGTCCAGGCCGTCGAGGATTGTTGCGCCCAGAGGCTGTGATCCGAACACGCTGGCTTGGTGTCCGCGTTTTGAAATAGGCTTCAGCTCGTTTTTTCCCCAAGCGTAACGCACGTAATTATCCCATGCATGTTTCATCATCTAGAAAAAAAAAACAGTTTCTGAAACAAGCCAGCAGTTTCTATGGAACTGTTTTGTTTGTCAGTAATAACTTTTCTAACTGGACAAGATTTCTTGCATCGATGATTATAATAATAAATGTTTTAGTGCAATCACCTGCTGCTATGGATTTTTTATTATCGCTGCAGTAGTTTATGTTATAACCACATAACTCTTAATATAGAGACTTGACTATGCTGATAATACAGGATACATTCCAAGCGAGTTCCCATTATATTTTTACAAGTTAGTGGGAATTGTTTGAAATTTAAGTGCATGCGCGGAATATCGTCTGTTTCTTTCTGTACTAACGTTTTCCGAGGACGAATAATGATGTACTAATATTTTTTTCTACGCTCTGTTGTTTTGAATGCGAGAAAATAAATGAATGACAATTTGGAATTTTTGAATAAACCACTTTTTACCAAATTTGTTATCGACAAAATCGCTTCAAAGCGAAATATAACAGAAGTTCGCCTTCCGTTATATAACTGCGAACAAATCCGTAAGTTAAGCGTTTGTAGCGAGGCCTAACACTATAATGCATCGAAACATGATGAATTAAATTTACAAATCAAGTTGTACTGTAATAGTATATTATATTATAGTAGTTTATTATAAACGAGCAGTAAAATACCGAAAACTGGCGTGGTAAAGTGACGCTTCCCGCACGTTAGATCGGTGTGTAATTAGGGCATTTTACAGACGGCAGCAGAAAAATATTATTTTCATATTATTTATACTCCTATATAAGGTTTTATTTACTTAATCTTAGAATAATATCTCAATTTTCTGCCCATCTGTATAATTATAATTGTGTATTTTGTTTCAACATAACATAACACAGATCAGTAAACATCCTTAAAAATCCCATCTGCAAAATTTAATCAAAAATTATACGGAATGATGGTGGACGGTACTGGATTGTCTGAATTAAAATTTAATTTAAATTATTTTAAACTATGCAATCACTCTTTATATATCTAATTTAAATGATTCGTTTTCTCGTTGTTTATTGTAAAATGCATATCTACATTGAAATTGCGAATAAACCTAATTTTCAGCCTCAAAAAACTGGCCAATTGGACCAGCTAAATGACCTAAAAAACTAATAAAAATTTTCACATTAATATGTCAAAAGATGTTTTACACGAATTATATTGAATAATAAAATTTTACATTTAACAGGCAACGTATAAATCTTCATTCAGTATAAAATTGATTCCTACCAAATCAGATAATTAAGCACTTTGCTAACACCGTTTAAGCAGTTTCCCACCGCTCACGACGAGACGCCAAACAATAACAGAAATTTAATGGCATAATTTGCTATACACCAAGTTATGAGAGGTATATGGTTTCACTTACGCCTTGTTTTACACATCGCTTATCGCTTAATTGAAAGAATAGCGGCACTGTGTTTTCAGGTTTATAAGTAGTCAGGATTTTACGATTTTGTTAAGGAATGTGGTAGGATAGTTCATTGTTTGTGTACGTTTTAGTGTAGAAAATGACCACTCGCTAATAAAAATAAACCCGGCATATATTTTTCTAATATAAGTGGTTAAACTTTATAAAATTGTCACTGTACATCCTAAGACCTATAGGTCACCCTCAAAATATTCCAGCACATTGTAGATGCGTTGCATCGAAATATTTCTTTAACTCTGGGGTTTTATAGCTGTACACCTTTGTGAAATAGACTTAATTAAATTAAGAAAACCATTTGGAATACTAAAAAGTTACAAGAATATACATTAAGTATATTTTTATATTTTAAGTTTAAGTTCACGACAAGAAAACAAAGAAAACAAAAAATTCCTAGAGTTTCTAGATATTCCGTGCTGGACTGATTGATCACTTTCGACTTAACCACAAACAACGTAAAATGGCACCGAAGTTTTTTAGTCCCACCACCAACCTGTCAGATTTGACGCTAACCAAACATTACTTTTGAACATATATTCCCAAAGTGGTATATATCGATCCCTAGGGGGCCGACCCCTATCTGCAAGAGGTAAATGGGGGCCTAGGAGAACGGATCGCGTTTAAGAAAGCCGTGACTGAAATTTTAGCTTACCTTTTATGGAAGCACTACAGAATGTATTAAATTTATAACTCTTAATCATGAGAAAAATTAGTTGCGTTTGCTTAACTTTCTTGTAATTTATGTACCGAGTGTTAAGTTTTTTGATTTATTATTAAACCTGATAAAGTAATTAGTGTCGTATGCGTTCACAAAAATACGTTTTCAAAGTATATCTTCTATGAGCATTCCTCGGAGGACGGACGAAACTTCTACATCAAGTTAAAGCTTTCGTTGCCTCAATATATGCTGCAAGCCTCTAACTTGGGATAAATTCTGTAAATAAGTTTTTTTTTTCGGAAATATGCTCAGAAACTTTGAAGTGGCGAGGTTTGAGTTTGAGATATTACGTCACCGGCTATTAAATCAAGTTAGACATGTGTGCCAAAATTTTGAATTTTTATTCCTTGTCATTTGAATGATATATAAGAAATATTTCTAATTCAAAGAATGAAAAATACCATTTCCGATACCAAATACAATTTTTACAAAAACAAGAGGTGTAGCGCCGCATTGGTCTTTCTACTGTAGTCTTCACTGAAGTTGAACGTTTGTCGAAGGATTACAACAAAATGCAGTACTTAACTGAATCCCGTAACCCTAAACCCCGTTTGGGACACGCTGTGCAAAATTTTACTAAATTTATTCCAAGCATCGCATGTACGAATGTAGACCACGGCAGCGAACTTTATTTGAAGTTTTGAAATGATTTAGAAGAGCCGTGCGGTTTGAAAACGTTGCTTATGTTGCAATGGAAGAGATGTAGACTTTGCTTAAGATTTCGATCAAGTAGACAAATCAAGAATTTGAAATCGGCGTTGTTCATTATTTATATCTACTAAATACTGAACTATTTAGCATACCCACCACCCGTATCGTATACGGTACAATTTATATGCAAAAAATCGTCGGGGGCTTCGAAAAACAAGACATCAAACTTAAATTACATGCCATTAACTTGTTAATGACTTCTATCAATTTTGTCAACAACCTTACATTTAACATCGGCATTGACACATACAATCTCAGACAGTTGAACCATTTATATATCGTTTCTTTTTATTGGATTAACGAGAAATCAATTTAAAATCTGCATTTTACCTCCTTTATCTTCAGTCTCCTCGCGGACGTGTCGTTCGTTTGAATTAAATCAACATTTCCCGGCCACTCGGTTAAATTATTTAGAGAATAATTCGCCTCCGTCGCCAGTTCCGACTCAGTAAAGTAATCTAAAGTGGTAGAATTATTTCCAAAATCCGATAAATCGTCTTCAATCGGTGCTTCAGTTAACGAGGTCGAGGCTATTGTCTCATTCTTGCTATCCTCCGAGGCGACCGTTTTCAATTTCATTATGAGAATATAAGATCCGTTTTCTCTTCGGGGATGAGCTCTAACATCCGGTTCCATTTCTACGGATCTTCGGACCGGTGACTGAACTGCCGAATATTGGTTCCGCGAAAGGTAAATGGCCGCGCTCGCCATCAACAATAGCGTGCCCGCCATGCCGGCTCCTGGAGCGAGAAATTATAGAATTGTATTTGATGATTGTATACAATCCCTTATTAAGACTTAGCAGACCCGAAAATTATTTCGCGAGGGGTAAACCGCCGGTCCCTATATTCCGTTCGTCAATTAGAGAAGACAACAATTATAGAAAGAGAATTACGGTTTTAGTTTTTCATGCTTGAACATGGTGCCTTATGTTTTTTTTTATTATTTATTTATAAATCAATTTATATATTTTTTTAACACCCTATAAGTTTACAGACTATAACATTCGTCTTTTTTACCTAATGATATTGGTTCCTGTTAATGCTATTGAAAGAATTACAAAACTGTGCCAATCTTACATAAGAGAAAATGGTATTCATTTTAAACATCACCTTCAAATTTTTTTCTTTTTTGTGTTTGTTATTTTGATACGTAATACTACAAAAATGTTTTTACACACTTACTGTTATAAAAACTTCTAATAATAAATAATAATGTTTCAATTCTTTTAATTCTTTATTATTGTTATTCATTACCTACTATTAAATTATATTAAATATTGGTGTATTTCTGTTATATACTTCGAAAAGGGGAAAAACACTAAATTTATAGACTATAATATACAGGGTCTTAAATTTAAAAAAAAAGATACGTATACAAGGAACAATTTCGGTATAAATTTTCAAGAAGAACTTTCATACCGAACGCGAATTTCAAAATAGTGACTTCCTTTTAATATTCAGATTTGCAAATCTATAGTTTTAGTTTTGGTTTTAGTTTTAACAAGTAATTTTAATATAATATTAGCTACATTTATTGAAATTTGTCAAGTGTAGGCGACTTGGGCTACTATAAAGCGAGAACAGAATCTCATTTCTCTTTATCCCCCAATAGTTTGACGCTTTCATAGAAAATGCGTATCGTTGTCAAGGCAACGGCGAGGCGTCTCTCGAATGCGCCGTATATCACCGTGTTGAAAGAAATTCGGCATACCGTGTGTAAGTGTATCTTGAAATCACAAATTTACTTTTGCCTGAACTGTCTCTGGCACGTATCCACTGTTTGTGGAAATGCTTTTGCTATGCTTACGGACTGTTCTCGAAAGGAAGTGAGTGTTCTTGAAAATATGAATAATGCTTTAGATAAGATCGACATCTTCAAATTTCGGGAATAAAGAACGACTTCAGGTACGAAACTGGCGTGGCCGCTCAAAACTGTTGACCTGAAGCAAACTTTTTAAAAATGTACAGATTTTGAGGTTACTAGGAACAAAGGCACCCTAAACATTATCGATAAATAAAAACGTCGATCACTAAGATTCCAGAATAATATAACGTAATTCTTTGACATAATTACCATAAACATTAGATAAAATCCGCACGATGGAAAATTTGAGTCACGCATT